CACACAGACAGCGCTCCACATTAGCCATAATAATATTATTACAAAAAGGTGGTAGAGCATCGAGAACTTCAACCTGACATGCCTCCTTCCCCAGGGTCCAGGCTTTTGGAGTCCTATCTGGACTGGACAGGTTGGGGGCGGGCGTGGGGGTGGGGGGGAGGATTGTGAACTCATCCCCAAACCTTCCCACCCAAGATCCTGCAAACCCAGTAGTCTGAGAAGCTCCTCCCCATGACAATCTGGGGGCTGAGACCCACTCCAGGGGGCCCCCAGGTAGAAGCCAACAGGGGGCTCTTCCTTTCCTACCCACAGCCTCAGGATGGAGGTTGAAGCCGCCACCCAGGAGGCGTGAGGTGCAGCGCGCCGCCTAGTGGCACCAGTGAGCACAAGGGTACCGGCCGCAGAGGGAGGCACCAACCACACAAAGCTTCCAGCCGAGCCTGCCGGGACCCCTGCAGCTGCCTTTAAATCTTCATTAGTAGTTTGTATTCAGATAAAGCAGGGGATTCCTGTATATTCTTTTTAATCCTGTGAGCTAGTTATTGCTCCCATTTTACGATTGAGGAAAGTGCTGCTTGGAAAGGCTCAGCAGCCAGCCCAAGCTCTCTCAGCAGGTAAGGGCACCCCCTGGGTCTGGGTCACCCATAGACTCTGGATTCCAGAACTCTGGCTCCAACACACTCTTCGAGTTTGGGAGAAATGATGGAGCCCATGGAAGCATTTGCAGTCTCCACCGAGGGTCAAAATTGGCTCTGTGACTTTCTCTCTCTCTCTCCCCTTCTTTCCTTCCCTCCCCCACTCTCTCTCTTTCTTCCAACAATAAACACCTTTATTACATGAAGTTTTTTGGTGGTGGTGGTTGTTGTTGTTGTTGTTGTTGTTGTTGTTGTTGTTTTTACATAAGCTTTTAGGAAAGGAGGGAGGAGGATTTCTCTGCCTTTCCGGGCCTTGGTTTTCCTCAGCTAGAACTCCAGCCCCTAGGCCCCTAGCACAGAGCCATCTGCGTGGCCACACCAGCCTGGCCTTGAGGCGAGGCACGCAAGAAGCATGCCCTGCTGGAACTGCTCCTCAAGAAGGCGGCTGATTGTCGCGTTCTTTTTCCCTTCATCATATTTCTTCTGAATTTTCTTTGATCATTTTTTGTTTAAAATCTCTTCCCCCTCAGGAGTCAGCTTGGCCTCTGTCTTGCGGCCCAGGGCCAGCACATAGTGGGACTTGTACCGCTGTCGGTGAGCACCGTGCAGCTCGTTACCAGGGTCTCAGTGCGGACCAGCCCTTTGCCGGGTGTGTTGTAGACATCAGTAATCCCTGTTCTGCGCGTGCAGCGCCCCGAACCCCAGAAGAAGTTGCCCTTGTCCAACCTCAAGGCTCAGTACTTCCTGCCGCCTCCCCACACACGGACCATGTCTGCAGTCGGGGTGCTCTTAGTGGGCAGCAGGGTGTCCCAGCCGGTAGTTTCACTTCTTGTGGCAGGGCTTTCTCTTGCCCCCGGTCTTAGGGCGCTTGCACCAGTTGTGCTGAGAGATGCCTGTGGCTTGGTGCCGGCTGGGAAGAGGAAATGCAAAGAGTCACTGTCCAGTTTGTAAAAAATGTGACTGATTTCAGAGCAGTTATACTGCACAAAAGCTGCCCTACCTCCAGTCTCAGGCCCCCCTGCCCAGTCGCCTAGGAAATGGGGGGGAGGTGAGAGGCTCTTTCTAGTACCTCTTGGCAATGCTGTGGGCCCTTTGACCAGTAACTCCTCCCTTCTAGCATCACTGATGTATCCACAGTGAATATTAATATATGCCTGTAACACACTGTCTTAGGTGCTGCTTACATAACGGTGAATGAGAAAGGGGGGTACCTCTCCCTCTGAGCAGCTTACTGTATCATCTTCTTCCTTAACTCACAGCAGGACCCCTTTGCTGTGAGTCTGATGGCTTTGGGCTTAGGAACATCCTGGAACAAGTCTTAATCCAGCTACTCCCATGTGGTCCCCCAGAGTTGGGCCTTGTTATTCTTTACCCATCCCAGGGAAAGGTGTGGGCTCAGGGGCAAACTGACTCCCTCTGAAGTCCTCTCGCTGGGCCCAGGAGATGCCCAGGCTGTGGAGCAATCCCATCTTCAGTGGTTTGCTTAGCTGCAGTGGCTGGGGAAGGGGCATTCTCCTAGATACTTGAACAACATGGGAGGGATCCTCCATGTGGTAAGTGCCCGACCCTGATGCTGGAGTTCTGGGGGAAGACAGGGTCCAGAACCTCCCATGGGTGTATTTCAAGAATTGAAAGAGTTTTTAGGCTAGAGAGGGAAGTGGGGCCAGGACCCACAGGAGAGGGAGAAATGACCACTCTCCTTTTACTTGCTCCCCTCCCACAATCTCTCATTTCTCCAGCCAGAAATTAAACAAAGTCATGAAACCTGACACTCGGACTAGAGATCTACCTGGTGCAATTACTGCCTGAATGTTGCGAGAACGTTATGTTTCAAGATACAGTCTTTCCTATAAGTCGGCTAGGCGACTGCTCAGCTAGCTGCTGAGCAACCCAGCATCAAGAAATAGACAAGAGTCACACCAGGTTACTATGCAATTCGCTCAGCTTTTATTGAATGCAGGTTCACTCAAGGTAAAACATCAACATACATTAATATCCTACTCACACTCTAACAATCTAGGAGGAATATAACACACATACAGCAATCGATGGCGATAACAAATGCAAGTCCTAGAGTCTGGGCCAGCAGGTCTGGGAGGCAGCCCTGTGGGCAAGAGAGCCATCAGCCTTTTGCAAGGAAGAGCTAGTCTCACAGGTTGGGAAGGTGAATCTTGGTACCTATGCCCCTGGATGCACTTCCTGGTGATCGTTAAGTATCTAAATATCTATTTATCTTTGGTGTTTTCTGCCTTAGAGTGTATTAGTGCTTTTGGATGTGCGTGCCTGTGTATGTGTTTGTGTCTCTGATGAGGGGGGTGTGTGTGCTTTTTTTAATCCTGTGTTTTTGGTATGTGGTTGTCTCTGCAGTGTACCTGTTTGTACACTGATGTTTCTGGGAGAGTCATTCTTCACCTGTGTGTCTTTATTGTATATTTACTTGTGTGTACCTTTGCAGGTATGTATCAGCCAGCTGTGCCCTGTGGCTGTGTCTGGGGGCATGGAGGTGTGTGTGTAGGTGATTGCAGCTATGTGGACGGGTGGAGCTGGCTGGTACGATAAGCTGCTGACTCTCTCATCCACTGCCCTTGCCTGGGCTGTCCTGGGCCACGCTAAAAACAGCCTACCTACCTTTGCCCATACGGACTTTTCTCAGTTGGCCAGAGTTCTTCCCCAGGGAGTCCCACTCTACCCATGTCCACCCTCCTGACCATGGATGCCAGCTGGAGAGGGCTGGGGAGGTGGACTGATTACATACACACTCCCCCCAATGCTCCAGACCCCAACCTGCAAGGGAGTGTTATGAAGGGGGGGTACTGGGAAGTCCTGCCTTTATCTCTCCTTGGAGGAAACAGTTGAGGCAAGTCCTCGTTGCTTCTCTGCACCCACAAAATTCCCTTCCAGCCTACAGGTCTGCCCCTGAATCCTTTCTCCTCCAACCAAGGAAGCACCCCGGGGACACTTCGCCCTATTCCAGCACACCCTCTACTGGCTCCTGGGCCTGGCAGGACCCCTCTCTAATTTCCTTCATCCTTTCCTGAAGTGGCCCCAGAATATCTGTATTTGAGGGGTGATTCCAGACCCAGCTCTGGGAAAATCCCAAGTAGTGAACAGATCAGGGCTTGGTGAAAGAGGCAGTCCTCCTGGCTGCCAGCCCCCTCTCACAGCTCGGTCCAGCCCCAGAGGAGGCATGGCTGTGGGGGCTCCCCAGCTCAGAGGGGTTTTTTTTTCAGTCCTACTTCTCCTGTCCTTTCACTCACTTACTCATGCACTCAAAGCTGTGTGTTCTTGGGCAAATAACTTTACATCTCTGTGCTTCAGGTCCTTCATCTGTAAAATGGGGGTGCAAATGGTACTTATCTCAGACAGTTGTGAAGATTCGTTGACGTAAGGCATATAAAGTACCTAACCTCATGCCTGGCACCTAGAAGTCTCTGCTGACTCACCCTTTCTGATGTCTCCGGGTTTCGGTCTCAAGACACCCATCCCCAAACTCCACCTAGCCCCATATACCCCTTAGCCTGCCTCGGGTGGCCAGAACTCCCCCCCAGGAATCAGACTCCCTGGGAGGGGAGAGATTACTGACATTTGTGCGGCAGTTTTCATACTTTTTTTTTTCATTCCATTCTACATCTCCTTATGAAAATAGCTATTGTCATTACTCTCCCCTTTACAGATAGTGACAAAAGGAGTATCCAAATGGTTAAGTAATTTGTTCAGGGTCACATAGCAAGTAAGGGACAGAGCCCAAGTGTACACTGAGCCAAAAATGGCTGCCCTCTCCCCTCCGTCCCACTGTCCTTTTGGGGCTGGGTTTTTAACATCTTAGGACCTGAGGGCTGCAAAGGTCCAGAGAGGTCTGGTAAACAGTTCTGCCCAAGGTCATACAGACAAGTAGGACCAACCAGGATAATACAAGTCTGCGCCCAAGTTCACATAGCTGTAAACCCCAGCTTAACCAGAACATGATGAGTGTTAGAGGCTGTCTCATTTATGAAGGCTTTTTGGAAAGACCCCACATGTGGAAGGCATAGAGCTTAATACACGCCGGGAAACTAAAAGTAAAAGTCCTGAGTTCACAGAAGAAAGCTGAGAGCACAAAGGAGAGCACAAAGGCACATTTTCTTAATTTTTGGAAAACAAAATTAAGCAGACTCCACTTCCAGCTATAATCCAGCCGCCAGGTTTTTCAACGCCCTGGGCGCAGCGTTTCTCGAGGTCCCCCCAAAAGGCCCCCCAATACTGTCAAGGCCGCGCCCAAGAGGCCGTCGGTTCCCCCCTTTAAGGCCCCCCTCCGGCCCCGCCCACTCACGCCCAGGCTCCGCCCCGCGGCGCGGTACCCCTGGGCTGGCAGACTTACTAGGACTATCGAGCCGCAGCGCTCAGCATTGTGGCAGGCGGCGAGGACCCGTGAGGGCGCCGGTGCCGCGGGCTGCGGCGGGGCGCAGAGAGGCGCACCACACGGGGGCTCGGACAGCGCGCCAAAGGCAGCTGTGAGCGCGGCAGAGCGCACCCACCTTCGGCGCCCAACTTCGGAGCCAGAGGGTGGGAGCTCGGAGAGCGCTCGGATCCCGGGAGGCAGAGGAGCGAAGAGAGGGGCGCGTCGGAGCCTGGGTCCAGGGCGGGCGCCCAGCACCCGGCGCGCTCCGAGCGCCAGGCGGCCCTCTGTGCAGCGTGGCTGCCGCTGCCCCAACGGAGGGCACGGGCTGGCGCGGCCGGGCGCCGGGGAGGACGGCGTGGAGGCGGCGGCGGCGGAGGAGACGGCGGCGGCGAGTCTGGGGCCAGGGAGAGAGCCCCGGGGTAGAGGCGCCCGAGCCGGGCCACGGGAGCATGTGGGCCCAGAGCGGAGCGCGGGGTGCGCTGCTGTTGGCGCTGCTCCTCTGCTGGGACCCGAGGCTGAGCCAAGCAGGTAAGGAGCGAGGAGCGATCTCGGGCATAGGGGCGGGGGATGAGGGGACCCTCGCTTCTCACTCTGGTCCGAAGTTGAGGTGGTAGGTCGCCGGCGAAGGTTCTCGCAGTGGAAGCAGCTAGGGCCCCCAAGTTAGAAGGTGTATTTCTTTGCCCCACCCAGCCACCTCGTTGGGTAGGGGGTGAAGGGCTGGCCCAGGCCATAGAGCTTAATACACGTAAGTTCAAAGTAAGCCGGAAACCTCCTGCTTGCACCGGGAAGGGATAGCTTCTTTTACTTGGAACGGTGTCCCGAGTCGGGGTCTGCGCAGCCAGGAGGATCCGCCTCCAGGGGACCCTGGCTCTCTGCGCGCCAGGCGGCGTCGCCTCAGAAAAACTATTTCTGCCTCGGCCAGGTGTACGCTTGCTTGTGTTTCGCCGGCAACTTCCTAGCCCGGGTCCCGGCTCTCCCAGGCGAGAAGGAGGGAGAGGACCCGCGAAGCACGCGAAGCGCACAGCCGCTCCGCCAGCCATGGTGGCGGATTGAAGGGCTTTGGCTATTGGAGGGGATAGGGCTGAATTCTGCAGGTACATCTTACCCCGAGATCGGCGACCCACAGGTCTGGAAGGACTTTTTCTTTTCTTTTCTTTTCTGGAGATTATGTGTGTATGGGGGCGGGGGTGAGTACGTAATGATTCTGCTTTTTTTTGTTTTGTTTTTTAATGGGTCATTGACATTCTCCCCGGCGGGAGAGCAAACAAGGTGCGCTCGCCTTCCTACAGCTCCTACTCTGGACCCATCAAGACGTCCTAAAGGGGTTGGTGGGCTCCTAAAATCAAGTCCCTATCCTCACCCCTACCCCAGCACACCCCCGCCGTGGATGGGTGCACGTCTCGCTCGTCTGTAGCTGGGCCCAGCGTCGCTGACTGGGCTGCGTCTTCCCCGGGAGCCTGCGAGTGAGCGGGAACCCACCTCTCTGCTGTCGGAACCCAAGCAGGTGGGCTGGCCGGGGCCGGGGCCGGGGCCGCGGGGCGCCCCGGCTCCTGGGGCGGGGGCGTCCTGTACGGAGTCCTCTGATTTGAGGCTGAGTATGGGGCAGGAAAACTGGTGCAGAAAGTGGACGGGATGACGAAAGCCTCCCTCCTCCACCTTCCGCTGGGATGTTAACATCCGCCACCCCTCACCCCACCCAATAAACAGCGGTTCAGAGAGTCCTCACTTTGGAATTAATGATTCCCACGGCCCAGGAGTAAGGGCTTGGTTTTAGCGCGCCCCTCCTCCCGCCCCACACACTATTTTTTTCCAGCCCTGTGTTGTAAAGTTACAACATAATCATTTGATCCAACTTAATTATGATTTGGGCAGCCTCTGGTATTTAAAGCAGTGTTTTGAAGTTGGAAGGTAATGACGGGGGTGAGGGGCAGGCTGCTGAATGACCAACCTTGTTACAAAGAGTACAGTTGGATGTGGGAGGTGCTGGGCTGGGTTGTTGGTTTCTGGTTTGAGGGTGTTTGAGGGGAATGATTGAAGGGTAGGGTGAAGTTTCTGTAAATGGCACATGGGCAGGGTTGGGTCTTGGGAAGCTGATTTTGTAGCAGCGGGGCAATGAGAGCAGGAATAAATACTGAGGTTACTGGGGGTAGCGAGTTCTGGGAGGCAGGAGAAAGACTGGTTGGCCTCCAGTTCTCTGGAGCTGCAGAGTACTCTCAGCTGGGGAAGCTGGGGGTGGACTGCCTTTCCCACTTAACAAAGCTTCCAGCCCCCACTTTCCCCAGAAGGAACCCCAGCCCAGGGCTGTGATGGATTTGGGCATGAATGGTGCTGAGCCAGAATGGCCTCTAATACTGGGCTTTGATTTCTCACTAGCAAGCAGAACCGGTGCTGGAATTGTGCTCATTACTTAGCACGGCAGGGGCTGCCTGCCCACCAGCCTGGAGAGGGGCCAAGTGCTGGGGTTGGCCTGCAGCCTTCCCTTTGCTCAGAAAGTGCGGCCCTTAGAAACCTGACTTCAGGAGGGAGAATGTGTCCCTTCCTCCTCTACAACCCCAATGCCACAGGCTCAGAGCGTCTTTCAGAATGTTCTTTGGGTCTTCCCAGTGAATCCCTCATGAGCCCCATTTCACGGATGAGGAAAACGAAGGCCAGAGTGTTTGTTGGCTTTCTTTACGTCTTGTCTTCCCTTGCCCGCAGATCCAGATCGCAGGCTTGTATGCAGGGCTCCTGTCCAGTGGCCATGCTGATTCAGGCCACACTGGCCTCTTCCTCGTGGCCCCACCCGTTTCTCTGCCATGAGCCTGAGATGAAGCTGAGGCAGAGAAGGCTATCCCCACAGAGGGCACTTTATCTTGGTGGTGTCCCCCTCCCCTCAAGTGGCAGGCACCTCCTTTCCCTGCCCCCACCCCCAGTGGATATGAGAATGGTTTTCAAGGCATGAAGTTTGATAGTGCAGAAATCAAACCAGGAACCGTAAAACCGCAGACCCTTAGAAAGACATGTCAGCAAGGGACTGACCAGGAGAGGCCACTTCAAAGCTGGGCTGGCTCGGGAGTCTCCTCCCACCCCACCCCTCAGCCTTTCCTGGAGCTTTTAATGAGCCTTTCCTTGGCCTCTGGCTGGGGTGGCTAAGAAGGAACTGAGGTGCCATGATAACACTTCTTTTTAAGGTGCAATTAAAATCAGAGTTTTCCTAGTGTGGCTGGTGTGCGTGCCCATGCGTGTGTGTGTGTGTGTGTGAGAGAGAGAGAGAGAGACAGAGAGAGAGAGACAGAGAGAGAGAGGGAGGGAGAGATGGTCGTCTTTGGCTCCCTCTGCAGTGTACCAAACACCCATCTCACTTAAACAAATGGAAAATCAAGAGTGTCTTAATGGAAATAAGCTAGTCAGAGAAAGACAAATACCATATGATTTCACTTATATGTGGAATCTAATGAACAAAGTTATCTAACAAACAAAATAGAAACAGATTTATAGCTGTCAGAGGGGAAGGGGGTATGGGGGATGGGTGAAAAGGTGAAGGGATTAAACAAAAAAAAAAACTCACAAAAACTCACAAAAACCTCATAGACAGACAATAGTTGGGTCATTACCAGAGGGAGATGGCGGGGGATGGGGCAGCAGAGGGTAGAGGGGCATAAATGGTGCCGGATGGAGGCATGACTTGGGGTGGTGAACATAGAATACGATACACAGATGATGTGCTATAGGGTTGTACACCTTAAACCAATATAATTTTACTAACTAATGTCACCCCAAACATTCATTTTTTAAAAGTGCCTTAATGGGTTGCTCATTAAAGTGAAAGTTCCACTACAGCAGAGGAATTTCTGATGTGATCTCTCCTCTCTTCCATTCCCACCCCCCAACTGGGAATTCTGCAGGACAAAACAACTCCCCCTTTTCCAGCCCACTTATTTAACTACCGAAGCGTTGGGACAGGCCCCGACTTGCCCAGGGTTGCCCTGGGGCTTGGGGACAGAGCTGGCATTGGAACTCGGTCCTCGCAAACCTCAGTCTGGTCCTTCCGGCTCCTTCGTTCCCCCGGGTAGTAGGCCCACCATTGGGGCTGGGACTGAGGTTCTGAAATTCAGTTGCCACCTAAGAGAGGGTTGGTTAGCTGTGTTAGACAGACTTGTCGCAGGATGTGGGAGAGAGGGAGAGGTGGGAGTGTGGACCCTGGGGCGGTGGAACAGGGCAGGACCAAGGTCAGAGGTGAGGCCCTGAGCTGAGGCTGGTGCCCAAAGATGGCTTCACCCCGGCTCCCCCAGCACCTGTCTTCTCAGCAACTGCCCCACCCTGCCCCAGGTATTGATAAAATAAATCCCAAGCCAAGCTCCCCTGGGCCCATCTCCCTGTGCACCCCACTTTGCTGAGTTTCTGCTGGATTGAAGGTACTTTGAACTTGTTTCTGGCGGTTAGGCCTGAGCTGAGGCCGCCTCCCCCGTGCCCTTTCCTTCCCAGTGCTTAAACAGCAAGGCTGGCCATTCTGAATGGCCTACCCTGGGGCCTACCCTGGAGCCTCCCCCGGGGGCCTGCTGGCTAGACGTGGTCTTTTCAACCTCAGGACCGGGTTGGGGCCACCAGGGCCTGTAGGAAAGGGAGGAGAAGCCAGGTCATAGGCTGGGACTTGGCCCTTGCCCAGTGTGGCTGGGGCTGGGAGCAAGAGAACTGCCTGGGCTGGCTGGGGGTGGGGGTGGGGGTAGGGAAAGGAGCGAGCAGAGCAGTGGAGGCCCAAGCTGGTGTTTCTCCTGGCCTCCTCCTCCTCTTCCTCACCAGTTTCTTAAACAGCTTCCACAAAGGGAGTCATTAAAGCTGTGAAGGCAAAATGAAACCAAACAAGTGCATTCTGTGCTTTTCTGTTATTTGGGATTTTTTAAAGGGAAAATTTAAAATTCCGTGATTAGAATAATACAAGGAAGGGCACTTTCTGGAAGATGGAGGGAATCTGCACTCCTTGCTTTTGAATTTGGGGCTGGAGGCCACCTCCTGCCCCCTTGGGGCCTGCACTCTGCCAGGTGCCCCACCCCCAGCCCCAGGAATTTCTCCCTTATAGGTGCATTTTGGTGCTCCTGAGCTGGAGGGAGCCAGGCAAGCCCCCCTTGGCTTTTTGGGAGAAGTATGGCATCCTGTAGCTGGCCTAACTTCTCGCTGTCAGTTGTGGTGGGGGGCAGCACACTGGATTTGAACTCCTTTCCAGTGCTGCTGCAGCGGATGCACACCCCCGCCCCCGCAGGGCACACCAGCTCCAGTGAGGTCAATCCACAGGTTTCCAGCGGCGTCCCTCTATCTCTGATCCTCAGCTTCCGAGATGCTAATGGCTGCGGAAACCGGTTTGCCGAAGTGCAGGCATAAATCAGCCGCCTCCCCACTGCCCCCCCACAGCCCCCTACCCCTTTTGTTTCTCTTCTTTCTGCCAAAAGCACCAGGTTGCTGGGAGTTCCAGAATTTACCCTCGCCGACCTGGCAGCCTGATTGGCATCTCCATAGCTCATTCACTGCTGCTGCGGTACCAGCTGCACACCTTG